GTGGTTCAATCGTATCGGCAATCGTGAGATGTACATGAACTGCGCACCCATCACTGTGGCCAATGACTCACCCTCGAATGCGTTCGACGACACGCCCAAACAATCGCCTGCTTTTCCTCCTATGTTCGTTGCCAATATCAACGGTTGCATGACCAGAGAGAATGTAGACATCCGGTTTCCTTCGCCTGGAAGTATTGTTGAATATAATGGCAACAGAAACAACCTCCCGGAAGAGAGCGAACCGGTGTGCAGCGGAAATCCTACATTCGGTCCAATTCAAGTCACCGATCCAGCCGACACCGGCGCGGCAGATTCCATGACTGAAAATTCCCACTCAACGTGTTGTTCCTGTGGCTGCCAGGGTAACTAGACTTATATCAGCGGCCGAACGATGGGGTCCTTGCAGCTTTGAGCTATATAGACTGGAGAGACCCGATTATTTAGCTCAATCAAAATGGCCTGCAAAGCACAAAGTCCACATAAGTAGCTACCATCATAGACCTAGTCTACAATGTTCCATCTATCGTTCTGGATTACAAATTTGGTCTTAACATTCTCGCTTCAGCACGGCATTGTGCGAAACAATGATAGTATCTTGCTCGACCGGTATGATCATCCAGAAAAGAAAAACAGAGGCATCGCACTTCTCATCCTACACAAAGTGCAACCACAATAGACGACAAAGAAGCGCTAATGGACTGAGATCGGTCGCTCACATAAGCAACGATTGGTTTTAACAACAGGCCACATGTTAAGTGAGCGTTTGTGGATTAGTCGGGGAGCACTTTCAAACTAAGACAAGTCTATCGTTGAAAAAGCGTTTGTAAACTACCACCTGCAATACGTGCTTTGTCTATTGAACTTCTAACCCTAACTTATGTACCACACATATAGTATCCGAGCAGCAAAGATGAAAGATAGGATCGCGAGACCTTTCTCGATAGGCCTTCAAGCAAAGAGCCAAGCCAACACCAATGAGTTCATCGTTCAGCAACGAGCATAGTAAGATTTGATACCGTGATACGCAGTCTTGTTGGCTACACTGACCAACAACTTCAACTCCCCCTCGCATGTTGCTCGGGTAAAGATGGTACTCTGTCACATTAGCTGAGAATCTGGTGAGACGGAAGAATGAACTGACCTGCAAGAGTTTGTCAACGGATATACTTTCCAGCTGGCAAGGCAAGTCTTTGATCTCGGGTTCCCATTCGTAGGTAGGGTTCCTCAGCATCAATTTGGTGACAACATCAGCTAGAGCGCATAGTTTCATTGTCGCAGGATTCATTTCTGATTCATGGATCTGGCAGCTATTTTCGGCCCCGACTAGTGAATGTCAGTCTTTGTAGTTACTAATCATATAAGTGGATGCCTCACTGATCTTGACATCACCAGACTGTGTAAGCAGGACTGTTTCCGGGCTCAGGGTAGCGAGTGCTCTTCCAAGCCCGCGCAGATATTGTATTCCTTCCAATACCTATTCTGAGTGAGCTGCAGCTGCCTCTGCAAGATACTTGAGTTTGACTCACCGGTTTGACAATTCCAAGCAGTTCATCGTTGGTAATTGAGCAGCTGGAGGCTAAAATGTGGCTGACTGACACTTCCGTTGGCTCCCAGACCAACGTGCAGGATGCATCCTGATGGTAACTCTCGATTAGCCTCAAGAAACTTGGATGAGAGATTTGTTCCATCATTTCTGGGAAACCTGTAGCGGGCGAGAACTGTTGTTTGAATTCTTGGATATGCACCAACTCTCCTTTCATCGTCTTGTGTCGGGCAAAGATCAGAGTCCGATCTTGCGATGATGCAGCAACAGGTTCGAAAGTATCCCATGGGTTTTGGTTCAGCTGTGGGATCTTTCGCTTTGGGCGATCCGGGAGTGATTTCTTCAAACTGAGGGCGATTGCGGCGGCAGTCATTTTCTGACTCGGCGAGGGTTGAATATCCGGAGAAGCAATTGGTTTTGAACTCGGGTGCTCCTGGAAGAAAGCAGATTGATCAACCCACACAGTCGGAGGCCGACTAGGGCTGACCTGATTGTCCTTCATCTTTGTGTGTGGTTTTGGCGACTTATGGAAAAGGGCAGTGGGAATTACACTGGAATTTATATCGCCAAAGCTTGATTTCTACATGCCCCTTTGGCCCTCATCACGATGGCACTTGGTCACGACATCATATTACCATGTCACTGCAACTTAAAAGTGATATCCCGCAAATTAGCAGGCTATGGTGAACTCTTGATGATCTATATCAATCACAATCGGTTGATGTTTCAACGATTTCGCTTGGTGGCTTGCTTTGCATCAGAAAGCAGGTCTTGAATGCTATTTTCTGCGATCTCACCAGCCCTCACTCTATTTTGGTGCTCAAACTATCGCACAAATTGGTCTGAGTTAAGAATTATGCTCTTTGTCAAAGTCTGTTTAAACAAAGGCAAACTCAGTTGGCATTGTTCCTGGCCATGTGTAATACAAGCTGCAAATAAGCCCAAATTGTATCATCCCAAGGGAGAGAAAAGAATTCCAAACGCTGGACCAAACGACGCTGATAGACTCGTGTGTATATTGAAGTGTCTCACTAGGCACAACAACCATTCTATGAACTGCCCTGTATATCCTAGGAGCAATAAGAATAGGGGTCTTCTAGCTTGCTAACAATCCTCCCCCTTTCACAGGCATGCTATTGGAAAAGAATAGTACCACTGCGTGAGATACTTTGTTCACGTATAACTTTACCTGCATTCTATACCGTATCGCGGGCTGTTTTAGTATGGATATAAAGGGGTCTAATGCGAAGGCAGCGAGAGTAGTTGTAGTAAGTTTTGAAAAATGACGACACAGCCTCCTCGATTCCTAGGATTACTTGTAAGGCTCAATTCATGTAGTGCAGGGAGTATTATGGGCTATGCCCCGTCTACAGTAAATTCTGCAAATTTTGACATAAGTAGTACTCCTCTTCTCCGTTTGAGCCGATTGATCTCATGTCTCCAACATCAATCCGAGCTCTCCAAAATGGCATCTGAGAGTTTCTCTCGAGCATTGTGGGTTTCTATATGAGAATATCTGGTCCCAGCTAACGTTTGACAGATCGATTAAAGACTTGCTGTTGCCCCCAGAAGATGCCGGGAGGCAGCAAACGACCGCTGCGCCACCACAATCTACAGAAGAAGCCATCGTCACCCGGAGCATCAATCTCGAAGAGAAAAAGCCAGCTACCTCCGCCAATGTGAAGAGGATTCCTTTCAGATGGGAAAACTCCGGTTCACGTGCCGCAGCAAATAAACGGAAGCACCAGGCTCTGGCATCACAAAGGCGTCGCAATCGAGCCAAAGAGAACCTTAGCTTGATGTCGGATGTCGATGCGTACTCGCGTGAGGCTGGCAAGCTGTCGTACCTGGTGATGCAGCAAAGAGCTCAAATGCTCGTCCTGAATGGATTCAAGGAGCTAGTGTTGGCCAAGCAGACAGATCGTGCCATGGAATTTCTGGGCCGTCATCCACAGGTAGTTTCTGCTTACGTCTTCAAAGCTACAGCTCTGCTAACCACTTTCCTAGTCACCAATGTTAGCTTCTAATACGTATGGATTCATCGCACAGTTTGTCAGATACTGTGGCAGCTACCTTGCTTCAATAACGTGGAGTGACGCTTGCATGGATTTTGAGGTACAATACAAGGACGGAACAGCAGGGCAGGTGCGATGGCGGGTAGCGATACCATTAAAGCTGCAGGGTACGCCCAATCTGGACTTTCAGGAGGAAATGCAAAAAGCCGACCTTGCTAAGAGTTTGTTACCTACGGCAGAGTGGACGTTTTTCGAAAGTCTGAATATCACCAAGACAAATTCTATGCTCTTGGTTTTCGAATAAGATAGAAATATGTTTGGACGTTCAAATGGACTCTGGCTTTTCCTACAGCGTTGCACGTTTTTTTTTTTTTTCCATAGGCACTCTGATTCAGTTGATAAAGCATGTCATCTTTCGCATCAAATATCGCAATGGTCTTCACCGGTATGATCCTTTCCTGCAGACTGATAAATCATAGACTTTGAGAAATGATCATCGCGGTAAGAAAAACCAAATAATAAAAGCCCAGTCCACGAACTGTCACTAAAGATGGCGCATTTCCTGACGCTTCAGCAGCTCTCGTAGGCTTTAGCTGTGTAGCAGCAGGCAAGTCGGACACTGTCATGGCCTCCACAGTGCTAGCCGTTGGCAGAGTGAATGTTGGGATGATCAAGGTCAATGGCACGAAGGCATTGTTCCAGGCTATCGTTCCTGTTGTGTTCGTGGTTTGAGTGGTCGCCATTTGTTTCCGATCCAAATCTTGGTGGTAGGGTCGCTCTCAGAGTCGCCTGTAAAATTTCAATGTTAAAACTTGTCAATCTTGCAAAATAGCACTGCAATGCGCATGAATCAATGTACTTACTCCGCTTGTGTATGTGACATTAGCCGAAAAGTATGTAGCGTCCGATGAATCTAATTCTGCCTCCCAATGGCACACGTACAGCTCTCCCAACTAGACATTATCTCAACTGTCAATGATATGGGTGGAAATTAAATCCTCCTGGGGGTTTTACCTTAAGCTGGCTATCATCGGGAAGGTAATCCCTTTTCAGGTAGTCGTGAAATTGGGGGGCCAAAAGTTTTCCAAGAGAATAAGAGTGAGGACTCGAGCGGGGAATGAACTCATATTTATGTGGTCGTTTTAGCTCAGTTATGTCTTGAACTCTGAATGAAATGAGAGGAAACTGCTAGAACTACCGTTTTCCCTTGCACGTGGACATCAACAGTAGGCTATATCATTGCGTTGAACATGATTCTTCGAACTAGACTTTTTTTGCAGACTTCCGGTATACATTCAAGGTGTCGAACTTATTATAACCCTATGTACTATGCTGTGCACTATCTCTCGAAGCTGGTCACATTAACATCTTCACCATCTTCACCATCTTCACCATCTTCACCATCTTCACCATCTTCACCATCTTCACCATCTTCACCATCTTCACCTCATCTTCACCATCTTCACCATCTTCACCATCTTCACCATCTTCACCATCTTCACCATCTTCACCATCTTCACCATCTTCACCATCTTCACCATCTTCACCATCTTCACCATCTTCACCATCTTCACCATCTTCACCATCTTCACCATCTTCACCATCTTCACCATCTTCACCATCTTCACCATCTTCACCATCTTCACCATCTTCACCATCTTCACCATCTTCACCATCTTCACCATCTTCACCATCATTCCAATATCCTTGTACCGGCTCTTACTTTCTTAGTGATTGTTATCGTACTATTTGCTCTATTTCGTTGTGTCTCAAAGCCCATTACGTTGTAGAACCGATTTGGTCACTCCTCGAGTACAATCACGCCAAATTTCCTGATAGGATTAACAGATTCATATCACCCATGAAAGCTTACTACATCCAGTTAGCCATGCTTCTAATCCATTCCTCACATCTTGATACGTAACTAATACGTGAAGTTCGTCACCGAGTAGCAGTATGGATTTACTGCAAATAGAACATCAAGAATGAAATGATTCGGGACATTTTGGAGACGAGATACGCCAGATCACTGGTGTCTGTGTAATATATTTTGAATCTGGACACCGCATGAGAAAAAGCAAGACAACAAATTCGTTTCAATTTAAAATAAAAGAAAGCTATCTATCGGTCTATCTATCGACCTAAGTATCAATTTATCGAACTGGTAAATCAAAACGCCCAAATCAACGTTAGCAATCTAGAGGAAATCAAGGCATCAATGGGCGGCGACGGCTACTCCTGGTCGTTGGCCAATCGGAGTATTGACCGTGCCTTGGGGTTCCATATTTTGGGCAATCGTATCCCGGTATAGGTCATACATGGCTTTCGCCACCGTCAAGCATGCTTCTCTCTGATTATCATTCAAGTCATCCCAACCCTTCTTTTCCTTCCATTCCGCCATGAATTCCGCTTCCGTGCGTATGGCTCTTTGGCCAATCGCGACGTTGGGCATGTTCTGCACGGCGTTGGTGTTCGAGTTCACAGCAGCGCCAGAGGAAACCGGATTGTGAGGTGCCTCATCTCCGTCAAGATTGATTGGGTTGGTTGACGCCCCCCTGTCTTGCACGCAATTGTGCAGTGGGGGGAGGGGGAATTCGCGGTTGGCCCGCAGATAAGAATTGAGTTGCAGGTGAATTGAGACGTTGTGTATGCTCTCGCTCAAGTGATTGCCTCGCTGCTGACCCCAATGGGCAAGGGGTGGGAGACCGATCTTCAGAGCCTCTTCCAGTGTCACTCTGGAGCACACGCTGATACCGTTCTTCTTGTTTGTCCCAGATCTCTTTGATCTTTGCGTCTGCAGCAGTCTTGCCATTGCAGAAGCGAATGAAATCGGATCTCGGAATCCAGGAACAAGAATTTTGCATTTTGTCGGTATCTTCTGACCTCAGGTCTTTCCATTTAATCTTCAACCAAGTACAGGGATCAGACTTGTATTTTTTATTCGGATTTTTCCTTTCTTCCGAGGCAATCCCGTAGATCCCGACAACATTGTTCTTGGTATACCGCCAGCCTTTGCTTCTTGGGCTAAGTTTGATCTGGGAGATCCGCAGAGACGATTCGGAAATGCTGTTCATGGAGGCATTGGTATATCCATGTCTGTATTTAAACTTGTATCTGGCTCCATGGCGAGGCCCGTACTGGAGAATGACAAAGGCTGATCCTCGCAGGGTTCCCCAACCATCTATAAGAGCGTCGCCTTCCTCCTCATCATTGGAGGGATCAAGGGTGGCTAGAAGCTCTGGCTCGTCGGGCTCGGTGGTACCTCGGGCACTGGGAGACAAATCATCTTGATTATGTGAATGACCGGCCGCAGGAGGGCGTTCGTGACCACTTGAGCTGGACCCGGTTCCAGCATCATGCATCGGGGTGTCATCTATCTCGATAGACTCCACCACTGGACTAGGCGATGGTTGTGGGGAATTGGCTTGGTCAATCAGACCATTGTCGTCAAGCTGACCGCCATCGTGTGTGTGTGACGAGTTGTCTGTTGGAAGTGGCTTTTGCGAAAAAGACGCCTGTGCATCTGCACTTTCCATTAATCCACGGGGCAGCCGGCCTCCTTCTGCTAGTTCCACCATTTCGGGAAGGTGAGATTTGTTGCCCTTGGTGTTACTGGTAGAGCTTTTATTAACTCCACTATTCGATGCCATATTGAATGACCGACCGCGATGTGCTCTGCGAAAAGCAAATCATTCACGCGGTTGATGGCAGGTATTTATGCATTTCGAAATTTAGAGCGATGTCCTTGTAGCCCTGCGATCTTTCAATGTGAGTTGTAAGTAAATGCGTGTACCTCAGATTGTTTGCTTGTGCTCAACTTTCAATCCGAGCAACTGAGCATCAACTTAGCTACACTCTAGCTCGTTGAAATTTGCCTCAGAATAAAGAGACAAGTAAATACGAGGGAATGCGAACTTCATAAGTTGCTGGCGAGTTCTGAAGCCTTGGCTTTGAGTGTGATCACTTTTTGAGTCCGGACCCTTGTTGATCTTTACTTTGGAAGGCATTTTCTTCTCTCCAGCCAAATAACGAGTAAGGCCAGCAATTTCATGAGGGTAAAAGACCATTTCTAAGCAATCAAGCAGCAAAAATCCTCATAGTGATTTAATTGCGGTGACTGTCGCTGGGGTTTTAACTATTGCATGCACATGCGTTGACGTCCAGAACTCATTCGATGGGCCGGTCTCAATTTGAGAAAGTTTGTGGAGCCAAAAAGTCAGTTTCAAGGTGCAAATATGTCTTGTATGCAATACAGCTGCTACGCTGGATCAAAATTATAGCTGACAATTTGTTTGATTTCTAGGGTTTCCTTGGCAAGGACGGCGTCTAAGACTGGCCGTCCTACGATCCTCGGTCTATTGGGTATTAAAAATTACCATATGTGCTTAGTCGCAAATCTTTCTTCCATCTGGGCTCGGGCTACTGTAGTACAATTTGCATGACGGAGGTCTGTGATCAATATTGTATGGGAACCCGAACTCTCCAACTAAACAAAAAGCACCGGTTGACATCTCGATATGAAAACCAACACAAAGTCAAAACCATTGCCAAGCGATCAGTGGTACATGTGGCCATGTCCTTCTTTAGCCTGAAACCTTGACGTCACTTTGAGATCGCAGCTAGAGAACGCTTGGTATACTCATCTTCTTTTATGATCTGCTCCAACTTGTAGAACTTGTAAATCGCCAGAAGCGCTGAACAGGTAGAAAGTGTCGCTCCAGTTACAGCAGTTGTGACAATTGCCATTACCGACCAGTCTCCACCTTGAGATGTACACACGTTGATGACAGTGGTCAGCAGCCCGGCGGCAGCATTCAAGGATAGAGGCCTAGTTCAGTCTTAGCCCTGGGCCTGCACTTCAATGTCTCGCACGGCGTTGCTCACTTACACAAAGAGTTTATTGATCAGCCATAGGTAGTTTCCCCTGAGCTTTGGGAAGCGCATCAGCCATATGAGAGCTCCAATACCACTCACAAGAAGGAAGCACGCAATTGCGAGTAATGGAGGGTTCTGGATGGTATGCAGCACGGTACGGCCTGCTTTGTTGACCTGCAACAACTTTTCAACCTGATTGGAAGTTTGCAGTGAAGTGAACGTGCCGGGGATGACGAGATAGCCGGCTAGCAATGCCCAATTAGCCACACCGACCGTAATGTTGAAGCTGATATCCATTTCTGCCTCTTCTTTAAGCATTCTGACATAGGTAGTCTCAATCGGGTCGTCGATCTGGCTGGCTCTAGACAGCGCCGTCGTCATATTATCAGCTGAGCGGAACGGAACGAGCGCAGATTTGGTTGCAGGAAAGGATATCTTTTTCGATCCCATTTTCTCTGTCATACTTGGCCACGGAGCTAATGACCAAGTAATACTCAGGGATATCACGATGAGGACATAAGGAAAAAGAACGTTACAATGCATTATATAGCCCGCAGTCCAAATTTGCTGCATATTTACGAGGGAGGAAGCTGCAGTTTTGACTCGCGGTGAGCCTTGCAGCTGACCTATTTTCCAAAAAAGGGAGGCCCCTGATAGAAAGCGACTATTATTACAATCCTGACTCTACCGCAATTTGCAGATGCATATGAAAAAAAAAATCTGGCGCCCAAATATTCTTCTCTGAGGTCAGATTTTGAGACGAGAAACGACCACGCCTGTTCGAATCTGAGGGTCAAGCGACACTTTGAAGCTCCTCTTGTCATTTTCAGACGAGTGCCCGAATATAAAGCTTCCAGCAGACCTCTTTCCTTCCTTAGGGCTCTCACTCCATCTAATGGCTGCTTGGCTTGATCTCGTCAGCGAGAATGAAGTTTGGAATTTAGTGGATACCAACCGGTTGGAAGAACTTGTGCAGGAATTGCCCTATCCAAAATGGCAATATCCGTCCCTGCTCTACTTTACAGGAAATTCAAACCGCATGAAAGCTTTGCGAGCTCTGTTCCCCTACAACAACATCACACGCAAAGGCCCCTCTGGCTTGATTCGTCTTCATCTCAGCACCAATACCGCTCATACACAGAGCCCTGTATTGTTTGCTGAAAGCAGTTTAAACCTGGAACACAGCATGGGCGACTCGAAATGGCTCAAGCATTCAACTACAAAGCATCGAAGCTTCTCTATAACGGGCACAGAAGGGCTGTTGCCCCCTGCAAGGCTACAACAAGAAGTGAAGAGGGAACTTGTTTTACCATGGACCCAGGTCCTGTGTTTGTTCCTCGATTCCGCCGCTGACATTCAGGCCGCAAGAAACTTACTCCAACAACCATGTCGACAGCTGACTATTGGCGACGAGGGTATTCCGGCTCCCACGCAGATAGTCATTGTCTTGACCAACGGCAAGCATACAACAAAAGCCTTCACACAAGAATACGCACAGCTTCAAGAGATGATCAAGACCGGGACAGTCACGATTCTCGATCTCAGTCCACGTAGCGGGCTTTCAGACAGCGTCGCTTTTGCGCCACTGGAAAGCTTGATCCTCAAGCAACTCGGTATAGTCCAGGCCGAGCAACTATCAGCTTGTCGGCGGTTCTCAGCAGTTCACCTCAGTGCTTTCTGGAATACTCATGTACAAATTCACCAAAGGCTGCTCGATGCACCGCCATTTGATCTATTGGAAAGGGCCCGAAGGGGCTATACGAAAAATGACACGATGGGCGATTGTCTTCGAGAGGTCAGCCAGCATAGAAAATCCGTTAGCTGCTCAAGGGAGGACTTTGATGATCTTGTAGCTACGGCTTTCTTGATGGATGCCTACCCCCCCTGGAATGCATGGTAAGTTTGATTTCTTTTCACTCGCACTTTCATGTCTCGACTTAAAAGCTGAATTGCCCAGGTTTCTCGCCCATCTTGGTTTTCGCCGCATTTTATGCGAAATTATGTCTCAGTATCTGGGACGCAAAGTTCCAGGGCCATATTGCTGGCGTTTCATTCCGCTTCGTGCAAAGTTTCGAGCAGTTGAGCTCTGTGAGAACTTCAGCAGCCATTCGAAAGGAGACGTTGCATCGCTTGTATCGCCGGTGGGGTGGTCTTCGTTCCACCACTACTTGCTTGGTCTGTCTGTGTCGGCCCCCGGAGCATATGCTCCCCTGCAAACATGCAATATGTGACACCTGCGTCGTGATCTTCGGAAATCCAAGTTCGCTTGGGGAGTATCACTTCGAGGTCGCTCAATGCCCTATCTGCGACGAGAGGTCCAACGTCACTGTCCGCCAACTACCTCCAACTAAGCATCCGGTGATTCTCAGTTTAGATGGCGGTGGAGTGCGCGGTCTGATTCAACTAGGCCTTCTACAGGCTTTAGAAAGGCGCATTGGTGTTCCGATCGCATCTCTACCAGATCTGTGCACTGGAACTAGTGTAGGTACGTACGACCACTGGCCGAGTGATTATGGTTGATAGACTAACAAAACTGGCGATTCAGGCGCATTATCCACTATTAACATCATTCTCAATCAATCTTCAGTCACGCAATGTTTCAATGCATTCCCCGACCTTGCGCGAAATATTTTTCGTCCTTCCTCAAATAGCCCAGTTCCTCGCTGTATTCGGTGGCTTGCCTCGGCGTTCAACTTGATCACAGATGGTCTTTATGATTCCGATGGGCTGTCACAAATTTTCAAAGCAGCCGTTGGCCCATCTCGCCGCATGTTCGATGTTGCCACGGCTAGCCCTGCGGGTTGCCGGGTCGCTATTGTGGCAAGTCGTACCTCCGATGGCAAAGCCTGCGTATTGGCCAACTACCGAAGAAAAAGCCCGCGTTGCGCAAATACCGCCTATCAATTTTTGGCGCCACATCATGACCGGGAGGATCCTTTTCTATGGGAAGCGTAAGTCGACCGTCCGAGTGCACCCAATGTGAATAGTAGTAGCCGATTTTGCTAACGATTAGCTTTTGACAGAGCTATATGCAGTGTTGCAGCACCCTTGTGAGTTCAGACACCATGAGACATAATATCGCGCTGACACTCTCTAGTTACTTCCAGACCAAAACTTTGCCAGGCCTTGGTCTCTTGCAAGATGGTGGGGTCCGGGCGAACAATCCGCTAGCCATTGCTTTGCGAGAGTCGGGCATCATCTGGCCCATGGCGAAAAGGCACGACCTTCTCCTATCTGTCGGAACAGGATTCTCCACGTCTAGTCCCAGCGATTCAACTGGTTTTCTTGATCGCATTCGGGAGGGTGCTCTTCCCCGACTGTTTCGGGCCATGATGTCTTCTCCCTCTATGGATGGAAAGCAAGGGTTTTTGGAAGCTCTCAATTATCTTTCCCATTCGTCGACACCCGATATTTTCCGGCTGGACCAGGCCATTGATGGTACACTGCCAGCATTAGACGATACGTGCTCGCTGGAAAAAATGTCGAATATGGACTTTGCAGTGCCAGCTGAGCTTGTGAGGAGCATTCTTGCGTCGGCCATGTTTTTCTTTGAGTTAGATGAGTCTCCCGTCCAGGGCAATGCTTCCTTTTATTGTCGGGGATCTATTCTTTGTTCACGACCGAACCCTACCGACATCCTGCAGCGAGTTCTTGTCGAGTTCCCCGGCGCCAGGTTTCGGTCTGGTCAGGACCACGATTTGGGAAGCATAGATCCAGTCGACGTTTGCCGACTTTGTGGATATTTCAGAAAGCGCGTTGCTTTTCGGGTCACCAGCCTTGAGGAAAGAGTCTCAATTGAGATTGCCAATGATACTTTTCGTGAAAAGATTGGCGGCTTCCCCAAATCGACGCTAGAATTTCTCGATGAGCAGAAGGCTTACGCTCAGTTTGGACGTGCAGATCATCAAATCCTAGATTGGCCGCCACGGAGATCTTGTTACTGCTATCGTGGGTCAAAGCGACTAGTCCACTTCTTGGAGCCTACTGTTGGGCAGAAAAGACGGCGGCTGTGAGCTGTGTGGATTTCTCATTTGGTGTTCTAGGAAGATAACAGTTAGAAGCAATATTCGATTTAGGCGAGACGGGAAATCCAGGAAACTGGCACCCAATAAGACGGGGCCCGTGCCCAGTCTCGTCTGCCGCTTTCCCCGCCCCTTTCTTCTGCCTGGCTGGTTTACCCTGGCAATAAAACTAGTCGGGAACAATCAAAACAAATCAATATTATGCTTAGGCTGTCTGAATCTAAACTCCAACATGCCGTGTCTGTATTTGCGCCCTATGCATACACGTGATGGCCGCCCTTGTTTGTGAAAATCTAGATATTTCGAGTAGGGCGTTGCAAATAAAATCGTCATGAAGGTCACTCGGTGGCAAAGAACCATGCGCCATCTCCAATATACCACCTATTAAAATGGCGGTGCAATTGGCGCCTAGGAACATCGTTGGGATTATCAACAGGCTGGCTTGGTGCTTTGCCGGTGCTGGTCTACGACTAAGAATTCGAGGTCCGCCAACGGTGGTGAGAATGTGAGGAAAGCCGTTGAGAAAGTACCCAAGAGCACCAATCGACTGCGTTCGCCCATAAAACAGACCTTTCGTTCTTAAAAGGCCTGCGAACCTCGAGACCAATCTCGGTTTCAGTGAGCTGAGACGTCAGTCTGCGATCGATATCCGATGAACCCTTTTCAAAAACAAATTTGCGGTCGCTCTGGCGACACCACCTCAAGCATCTACAGTCGATCCACCGACACGGCCAAAGATGCTATCCCTATGACTACCATACCAACTAACCTACAAATCAAGCCATCTCTTCCTGAGATAAATCTACTGGACCACCAAATCTCTATGGCTCGTGGGTCTACCATGGCCTTGGAAACCACACGGCCGCGACTGAGAAAATCCAAAACACAACCCCAAATGTCGATTTTGGAGTTAAAGGCCGAACGAATGCAACAACATAGTCAGCAGGGGCTTGAGAACAATTTTTATTCCAAGTGTTTTGAGAGCTTCCACCAACTCGTCAGCGCCACAATGGACGCAACCCAAAGTCTTGCTCTGCAGTATCATTTCAACCCCGCAAAAAGCCCTTTTGGTGACCCGCGCCTGATTCGAGCTATTGTTTTATTAAGAGTGGCTCTTGATAAATCCCAAGCTGAGGAAACCAGTGCAGAGCAGGAGTGGAAGTAGCAGTGGAGGGTCTCTTCTGTTCGGCAGTCTTCACTTCGATGGCTTTGACACTTCGGGAGCTTTGTGTCTTTGACCCTGTCAAGACCATTTAGGATAACTGGTTGAGCTGGATTTAAAACAAAGGCCGTGGGGTGACTTGAATACTAGACGATGTTTGATCTGTGGCTTGAGGTTTTTTCGCAACAATTGAATAGCATATCAGAATCCGTGCTATGTGTTTTTCTTATTAGCCACAGCAGAGGGGCCGTGCATTTCACCATGCGCTTCGCGTTGTAGGGACAAACCGACGAGCTTTAGGAGCTTTTGAACTCCGCGCGTAAGAACTGTTTCACTTTGGAGACAAAATCGTCTTCGATGCTCTGAAGCACTCTCTTGACCGCTTCCGGAAGCAAGATGATCCGCCGATCCAGATGCTGGGGGCGGCATTCACATAAAGAAATCTTTAGGAGAGCTTTTTGCTTTAGCTGGGCTGTCAGCTGGTCGAACTCTGACAGCGCTGTCTTCACGAACTCTTGAATGCGATAAAGACTTTTGGTCTCTTTGAAGCCAGCGATGCATTTCGAAAATTCAATGGCCCCGCGAAGCATCTTAAGGAGATTTTTCCAATCGTGTGGAATGCGGTGCACAGCTGCGTGGCGAATACTGGTAATCACGCGATGCCATCCTGTCAACGCGGTCAGAGTCAACTGAAAACATTCGTCCTTGACTTTGTTTTGATGAGCTTTCAAGAATCGAAAGAACTTGTGTAACTCTAAAGCTTCTGGGCACGTCCATCCGGCCGCGAGAGAGTCCGACAGAAGCCATTGCCGAAGGAAGCGAAAGGCATGATTTTCGAGTTGACGTTGTATGACCTGCAGGATATGGTGTTGAGCGCGAAACGAAAAGTAGTCAACCGAAAATCCGGGCGATGAGCTTGTGATTTCCATCACTCCTATCCAATATGGTTAGCTAATACATATCCACTGCAGTTGTCAATACCTAGGTGTCCGACATACCCTCATTTAGCAAATCATTCTGGGCCATAGAGGTGATTGGAGCTGTGAATTTCAGCTCTTTGGTGTTGTCAAACAAAGTTGGAAGTCAGTGAAACGACATCGAGCCAGCGAGCTGACAAGATTTCCTACATATACACCGTTGTATGCATGTGAGGAATTTGTCGAATGAGCCAGTCGTAAAATTGAGGTGACTGTGTCAGTAGGTCGCATATCCTCATGTTTTTGGTGATAGCATCATATTGCTGCGGGCTCATCAATTTAAATTGTGACTTCACAGCGGTCTGTAGCTCTCTAATACCGGTAATACCATTTTTTTGGTTTCTTTGGATTACCAAGGAGGGGCCGGATATATAACGGCGGATTTTTCTCTTCTTTGCTTTGCGGTGCTTTCGACTTTTCTGTATAAACAAGATGATTGCGCTGGGGATCTTCATCCTGGGCGTCCTGCTGGTCACGATTCCAGTGGTAGGCCCTTGCTTCGTCCGAGTTCGAGACATGCTAAAACTCCACTAGGCTTCCAGGCCCTTAAAGGCAATCATGTTCACATCAGAGCCGGAAGTAAGGGATGCTGTTCATACAGCACGGTATCGCGAGGACTTGCGCTGATAGTTCTTTTGCAACGCAGACACCTGTCCCACTACGCGCTCACAGCGTGAGACGAAACAACGATCTGTCTAGTGACCCCATCAGTGAGTGTTTTAACCCTTTGAGAAACGGTCTGTCTGCTTATGCCATGTTCCAGTTGTTCTCGATTCAAGCGCACAACACGGTCGACTCCACCGGCATCGCCGGAGGCACGTTACTGGTAGATAGCGTCGGAGACGGATGCGGGACAAAGTTATTCCGCTGGCTCATTAGCCACTGGGCTACCCACACAACGTGACCCACGGTCGCACAAGCGACCTTCCCCTTTAAATTAGTGAAAACCATTCGATTTTGTCCACTATCAAAAGTACAATAAGAACATAAGTTTAGCTATTGAACACGTGTAGGGCGTTTAGAACATGTATCACCTTTTATTTCACAGCTAGATAATGTTACCTGCCGCCGAACTAAGGGCGTAGAAGGTAAATTAGGCTGAGCAACCGGTTTGCCGGTACCCATGGTGAACATATTCTTTGCTTTGATTCCTCATCGTCGAGAATCATATCATCTCCACCACCCTCTATTGTAGAAACTAGACTGCCGCAATAGGCCGGGTTGGGCCTAAACTTCGAGCCCACGGCTCATTAGTGGGGGCCCCCATTAAAGCCCATCTCAACGCTGACAATCGACCTGTGTAATCGCTGTAATACGAACTTCAACTAGTCGTACAAAGTTCAAATTTGAAAGATAGAT